CGCCTCCCTGACTCCCTTCGCGTCGTCAGGGACCACTTTCTTGCAGTCTGTCCCACCACCCTCACCGTCGACCTCCTCGAGAAGGCCCTCCTCGCAGCGGAGAAGAGCATAGTCGCTGTAGGTGCTTCTCCTGGTGACCCTCGCACCCCCATCTTTGAGGGGTGCTCTCCTTCCCCCTTGCTGCCCTCTGTTGCCTCTACTGCTGCTGCCGACCTGCTTGGTCTTGAGTCGGTCGGCGCGGCGTCTGCCCCTAGTGGGAGACGTCGCTCCAGCAAGGGCAAGGGGGGCAAGGGCGCGGGTGGAGCTGGAGGGGGCGGTGGCGGTGGCGGCGGTGGCGGCGGAGGGAGTGGGGGTGGCGGCGGGACTAGTGGCGGGGGTGGTGGTGATGGTGGCAGCAGCGGCGGAGACGGTGGTGGTGGTGCCAGCGGTGGTGGTGGAGGCAGCGGCGGGGTGGAGGCGGCGGAGGTGGAGGCGGTGGAGGCGGCAGCGGAGGAGGCGGTGGTGGTGGAGGAGGTGGAGCTGGTCGAGGTGGTACCCAGCAGCGTAGCGGCGGTGGTGGTGGCCAGCGCTCGCAGCGGCAGCAGCAGCAGCGCTCGCGGGACATCCCTCCGCCTCAGCAGCTTCGTGAGTGGTACACTGGGCGTCAGAGGGGTGGGGGTACTGGTCCCTGCACCTACGTTCTTCGTTCCGACGACCGCGCGGGTGAGCAGTGTGGGGGTGCCCACGCCACCCAGCGCTGCTTTGGCCGCCTGACGGACGCTTGGCGTCAGCAGTTCCGTGGGGCTAGTGAGATCCCTCGCTGGGATGAGCTTCTAAGGGCTGGTGTAGCGATCTTTGATCTTGATTTTGATGCTATCCTTGCTGCTATGTATGTTGTGGATTATAGTGAGGAGAATGAGGGTTACCGTTGTTTCCAGCCCGACCCGGGCATTGGTACTGCTGCGCTAGGTGCTTGTGAGGCTGCTGCTCTAGGTGCCAGTGCGTCTGTGCTCTCAGGTACTGGTGAGACTGCGCTCTCAGGTACTGCGTCGTCCTCGTCCTCCCTCACTTTCACACTTGACTCCGGAGCTTCTCGCTCCTTCTTTCGAGACCGCACTACCCTTACGCCGCTCGGCCGGCCGGTTGCGGTCTCCCTTGCTGACCCCTCTGGGGGTCCTGTCCTGTCTCACTTCTCCACTGTCCTCCCGTGTCCGGCTGCCCCTTCGGGCACCCTGTCGGGTCTGTACCTTCCCTCGTTCTCTACGAACTTGGTGAGTGGAGCGGACCTGCAGGATGTGGGGGTTCACCAGTTCACTCCTACGAGTCAGCGGGTGACCCACTGCACGGAGGCACGCACAGGCCGACACCTGGCCACGTTCTCGCGTCGGCCGGGGTCGAGTCTCTACACCCTGACCGTTGAGTCTCCTCCTGTCCCTGCGTCTGGTCAGGTGGCTGCGTCGGGTCAGGTGCTTGCTGCTGCGTCCCGGTCAGGTCCTGAGTCTGCCCCCTGTTCTTGTCGCCTCCTGTCTCACGAGACTCTCCTGTCGCACCACCGTCTTGGCCACCCCTCCTTGCCCCGTCTTCGGAGCATGGCTTCCCGTGTCCTTGTCTCTGGTCTTCCCCAGTCTCTCCCTCCTCTCCCCTCTGGGCCAGGACCTTCCTGTGTCCCCTGTGTCGAGGGTCGCCTCCGGGCTACTCCTCACTCCTCCCACTTCCCCCCGACAGAGGCTCCCCTGCAGACGCTTCACATGGATGTGTGGGGCCCAGCCCCCGTCCGTGGGCAGGGTTACGAGCGCTACTTCCTGTTGGTGGTTGACGACTACTCGCGTTACACCACAGTCCTCCCCTTGCACAGCAAGGGTGCGGTCACTGAGGTGCTGATCGACTGGATCCGCGAGGCTCGTCTCCAGCTCAGGAAGAGCTTCGGCTCGGACTTTCCTGTTCTGCGTCTGCACTCGGACAGAGGCGGAGAGTTCTCTTCTCGCCTTCTGCGGGACTACTGTCGTGCACGGGGGATCCGCCAGACCTTCACGCTTCCGGACTCACCACAGCAAAATGGGATTGCTGAGCGCCGCATTGGCATGGTCATGGATGTCGCTCGTACGTCCATGATGCATGCGGCTGCCCCCCATTTTCTGTGGCCGTTTGCGGTGAGGTACGCGGCGCATCAGCTCAACCTTCACCCCCGGGTCTCTCGGCCTGCGATGTCCCCAGCCTTGCTGTGGACGGGGAAGGTTGGCGATGCGTCTGTGTTCCGTGTCTGGGGATCTCGAGCGTTTGTCCGCGACTTGTCTGCGGACAAGTTGTCCCCTCGTGCTGCTCCCTGTGTCTTCCTTGGCTTCCCCACTGACGCCCCAGGGTGGCAGTTTTACCACCCCTCCTCTCGTCGTGTTCTGTCCTCCCAGGACGTCACGTTCGACGAATCAGTCCCCTTCTACCGCCTCTTCCCCTACCGCACTCCTTCCCTCCCCCCTCCCCCGGACTTCCTTGTGCCGGTTCCTCCCCCGGTAGACCCCCTCCCACCTCAGGTTCCTGCCCCCTCATGTGTGTCCCAGGTAGACGCCGTTGACCCGGTCGAGGTTACTGGTGACTCTGGTGCTGCTGCGGGTGCTGAGCCTGGGGGTGCTGACTCTGGGGGTGCTGTGCGCGGGGGTGCTGAGCCTGGGGGTGCTACTGCTGGGGGTGCTGGGCCTGAGGGTGCTACTGCGGAGGGTGCAAAGCCTGGGGGTGCTGAGCCGGGGGGTGCTGTGCCTGGAGGTGCTGGGTCTGGGGATGCTGGGTCGGGAGCTGCTGAGCCTGGGGGTGCTGAGCTGGGAGCTGCTGAGCCTGGGGATGCTGCGTCTGGAGCTGCTGAGCCTGGGGTTTCTCCTGCTGCTGCGTCTCGCCGGGAGCCCCTCTCTCCACAGGAGCTGCGCGAGTGGTTCGCTCGCCGCTGGAGGCGTGCTGCTGAGTCTGGAGGTGCTGCTGGAGCTGGAGCTGGAGCTTCTTCGACCGTCGAGGGTGCGGGTGCTGCCGGTCCCGAAGCTGCTGGACCTGCGGGTCCTCCTGGAGCTGGAGCTGCTGAGGGCGTTGGTGCTGAGCCTACTGCTGTTGGTCCTGCCGCTGGAGGTGTGGGTGGCGCTGGTGCTGTCGCTGAGGGTGCTGGTGCTGTCCCTGCTGCGTCTGGAGCTGCCGCGCGGCCTCGGCCGTACTTCGTTCCGCTCCTGCAGCAGGTTCTTGGTCTTTCTCCTCCAGTAGAGGGTCCACCGCCTGTCCAGTCGCAGTCCCTGCTGGAGCCTTCCTCTCCACTGCCTGCTCCCTCTCCTTACACTGGTCCTACTGGAGGTCTTGCTGAGCGTCGTGAGCCTGCGTCTCGTCCCGCGTCGCCTGTTCGTGCTGCTCGCGCTAGTGGTCGCAGTTCGCGTCAGCGTCTTCCTCCTGTCCCTGGCACGCACCGGATGTCTTTGCGTCCGTCCACTGCTCCTCTGCGTGCCCCTTTTCCTTCTCCTCCTGAGTCCTCTCTTCCTGCGCTTGCCGACCCTGAGTTGGACTCTCTTCGTGCTGCCAGTCCTACTGTCACGCGTGTGCTTGCTACTGTCGTCACTGACCCCTCTTTTGAGTCCACTGCTGCGTCTGCTCTAGTCGCTGAGCTCGTCGACTTTGCTGCTCGCTGTCGTCTCGACTACGCTGCTAGTCTTGTTGCTGAGTCTGCGTCTGTCTGTCCTCCGTCCGTCGGGGGTGAGTGTGCTCTTGGCACGGACGTCCTAGAGGACAGGCAGGAGGAGTTACAGTGTCTAGCGGCTGCTTCACCTCATCTCGCGTCTGTACTGCTTGCCCCTGAGGGAGACCCGGATGCACTAGACATCCCGACTCCGCGTTCTTACACGGAGGCCGTAGAGGGTCCCTACTCCTCTCAGTGGCAGGCAGCTATGGATGCAAAGATGGCTTCCTGGAAGTCCACAGGCACCTACGTTGACGCGGTTCCCCCTCCTGGGGCGAACATCGTCAGTGGCTTGTGGATCTTCAGGGTGAAGCGGCCGCTGGGCTCTCCACCTGTCTTCAAGGCACGGTACGTTGCTCGTGGCTTCAGTCAGCGGCAGGGAGTTGACTACTTTCAGACCTTCTCTCCCACCCCGAAGATGACTACTCTTCGGGTGCTGCTGCACATAGCCGCTCAGCGCGACTACGAGCTTCACTCTCTCGACTTCAGCACTGCGTTCTTGCAGGGTAGCCTGCACGAGGAGATCTGGCTTCGCCGTCCACCTGGCTTCACTGGGACTTTCCCTCCTGGCACCCAGTGGAGCCTCCGACGGCCAGTCTACGGTCTCCGCCAGGCACCGCGTGAGTGGCACGACACACTGAGGACTACGCTTGCGGCTCTTGGGTTTGCTCCTTCTACTGCTGACCCGTCGCTGTTTCTTCGCACCGACACTTCCCTGCCGCCGTTCTACATCCTCGTGTACGTCGACGACTTGGTCTTTGCCACAGCGGACACTGCTGGACTCGCCTACGTGAAGTCCGAGCTGCTGAAGAGACACACGTGTACAGACCTGGGTGAACTGCGCAGCTACCTTGGCTTGCAGATCACTCGGGACAGAACACGCCGCACCATTACCTTGACTCAGTCACACATGGTGCAGCAGGTCCTTCAGCGCTTCGGCTTTACGTACTCCTCGCCTCAGGCCACTCCTCTGCCTACTCGCCACTCACTCTCAGCTCTGCCTTCGGATGAGTCCGTAGAGTCGAGTGGTCCGTATGCAGAGCTTGTTGGCTGCCTCATGTACCTGATGACCTGCACACGACCTGACCTTGCATACCCTCTGAGCATTCTTGCACGCTATGTTGCTCCTGGGAGACACAGACCGGAGCACATGGCTGCAGCGAAGAGGGTATTGCGCTACCTGTGCAGCACGTCGGGCATGGGGCTAGTGCTTGGAGGGCGGAGTCCAGTGGTCCTTACCGGCCACGCGGACGCTTCTTGGGCTGACGACCAGGCTACGCAGCGGTCGTCACAGGGTTACACCTTCAGCCTTGGTTCCGGCTCTGTCTCGTGGCGGTCTACTCGCTCGTCTTCGGTTCTCGGCTCCAGTTGTGAGGCTGAGATCTACGCCGGGGCCATGGCTGCACAGGAGCTTCGCTGGCTCACCTACCTGCTGACTGACCTTGGAGAGCCGCCTCATTCTCCTCCAGTGCTGTACGTAGACAACAAGGCCATGCTGGCCTTGTGTCGAGAGCAGCGCTTGGAGCACAGAACGAAGCACATTGCTCTCCGCTACTTCCTTGCTCGTGAGCTGCAGCAGCGTGGTCAGTTGCGACTTGCGTACGTGGCCTCTGAGGCCAACACTGCTGATGTGTTCACCAAGGCACTCGCGCCTTGTGACCATCAGCGCTTTTGCACCCAGCTGGGTCTTGTACCTGTCTTGCCTCACTTGCTCTCCTCTTGACTTCACTTGTACTGTGGCATATATATATACCTGCTCTTGTTTGTCTAGTTTTATATATATGTCTGTACTCCTGCATGTGAACTGGCCTCTGGCCCTGCTCTTGTGCTCGGACTGTGTGGTGACTTTGTGATCCACCCTGAGCTTGCTTTGCTTTGCTTTGCTTGACTGGTCTTGTGACCCCTTGTTCTCCCCCACTTTGCCTATGGGGGTGTGTTAGATTATCATAGTTGATGCATGTTTGTAGGCTATAGTGGGGTAGCACATATGGGGTACACCTTTCTAGGGTTGTATTTGTACCCAACCCTGACTTAGTCCATTCATTCCTGTTCACTTGTTTAACATCGGCCAGTCTGGCCGGCATTTCGCACTTATAGTGCAAGTAGGGCCAAGGAGAACGGAAACACTCATTTCTCAAAGAGTAAAGGGAATCTAGCGGTCTCACTCAATCAGAAGGTGGGAAATCTATAAATCTAGTGAGCTAATAAGGTTCGGAAGGAATCTAATGCATATATATATGGAAAGTGGTGCATTGGCCAGGTCGGTCAGTATGGGAACTTAGAGTGCAAATGCCTGGGAGAACAGAACCGCTCAGATCTCGCATAATACATGGAATCTAGTGGTCTCACTCAAATATAAGGTAGGAAATACATTCATCTAATGAACGTAAGGGTTTGAAAGGTAACTAACGCACATGTGTAGAGAAAATGGTGCATCGGTCAGTCTGGCCGGCATTTCGCACTCATAGTGCATGTGGGGCCAGGGAGAACGGAAACGCTCGTTTCTCAAAAAGTACAGGGAATCTAACGGTCTCACTCGATCAGAAGGTGGAAAATATATATCTCTAGTCAGCTAAAAAGGCTTGAGATGTATTCAACGCACATGTATAGAAAAAATGGTGCATTGTCCAGGTCGGTCAGTATCGGAAATTAGAATGCAAATGCCAGGGAGAACGTAAGCGCTCAGATCTCGCATAATACACGGAATCAAGTGGTCTCACTCAAATAGAAAGTAGGAAATATATTCATCTAGTGAACCTAAGGGTTTGAAAGGTAACTAACGCACCTATGTAGAGAAAATTGTGCATCGGCCAGTCTGGCCGGCATTTCGCACTTATAGTGCAACTAGGGCCAAGGAGAACGGAAACGCTCATTTCTCAAAAAGTAGAGGGAATCTAGCGATCTCACTCGATCAGAAGGTGGGAAATATATAAATCTAGTGAGCTAATAAGGTTCGAAGGAATCTAATGCATATGTATATGAAAATGGTGCATTGGCCAGGTTGGTCAGTATGGGAACTTAGAGTGCAATTGCCAGGGAGAACAGAAGCGCTCAGATCTCGCATAGTACACGGAATCTAGTGGTCTCACTCAAATAGAAGGTAGGAAATCAATTCATCTAGTGAACGTAAGGGTTTGAAAGGTAACTAACGCACAAGTGTAGAGAAAATGGTGCATCGGCCAGTCTGGCCGGCATTTCGCACTTATAGTGCAAGTAGGGCCAAGGAGAACAGAAACGCTCATTTCTCAAAAAGTAAAGGGAATCTAGCGGTCTCACTCGATCAGAAGGTGGGAAATATATAAATCTAGTGAGCTAATAAGGTTTGGAAGGAATCTAAGGCATATGTATATGTAAAGTGGTGCATTGGCCAGGTCGGTCAGTATGGGAACTTAGAGTGCAAATGCCTGGGAGAACGGAAGCGCTCAGATCTCGCATAGTACACGGAATCTAGTGGTCTCACTCAAATATAAGGTAGGAAATAAATTCATCTAGTGAACGTAAGGGTTTGAAAGGTAACTAACGCACATGTGTAGAGAAAATGGTGCATCGGCCAGTCTGGCCGGCATTTCGCACTTACAGTGCAGGTGGGGCCAGGGAGAACGGAAACGCCCATTTCTCAAAAAGTAAAGGGGATCTAGCGGTCTCACTCGATGAGAAGGTGGGAAATATATAAATCTAGTGAGCTAATAAGGTTCGGAAGGAATCTAATGCATATGTATATGGAAAGTGGTGCATTGGCCAGGTCGGTCAGTATGGGAACTTAGAGTGCAAATGCCTGGGAGAACGGAACCGCTCAGATCTCGCATAATACACGGAATCTAGTGGTCTCACTCAAATATAAGGTAGAAAATATATTCATCTAGTGAACGTAAGGGTTTGAAAGGTAACTAACGCACATGTGTAGAGAAAATGGTGCATCGGCCAGTCTGGCCGGCATTTCGCACTTATAGTGCAAGTAGGGCCAAGGAGAACGGAAACGCTCATTTCTAAAAAAGTAAAGGGAATCTAGCGGTCTCACTCGATCAGAAGGTGGAAAATATATAAATCTAGTGAGGTAATAAGGTTCGGAAGGAATCTAATGCATATGTATATGGAAAGTGGTGCATTGGCCAGGTCGGTCAGTATGGGAACTTAGAGTGCAAATGCCTGGGAGAACGGAACTGCTCAGATCTCGCATAATACACGGAATCTAGTGGTCTCACTCAAATATAAGGTAGGAAATATATTCATCTAGTGAACGTAAGGGTTTGAAAGGTAACTAACGCACATGTGTAGAGAAAATGGTGCATCGGCCAGTCTGGCCGGCATTTCGCACTCATAGTGCAGGTGGGGCCACGGAGAACGGAAACGCACGTTTCTCAAAAAGTAGAGGGAATCTAACGGTCTCACTCGATCAAAAGGTGGGAAATAAATAAATCTACTCAGCTAAAAAGCTTTGAATTGTATTCAACGCACATGTATAGAGAAAATGGTGCATTGGCTAGGTCGGTCAGTATCGGAACTTAAAATGCAAATGCCAGGGAGAACGGAAGCGCTCAGATCTCGCATAGTACACGAAATCAAGTGGTCTCACTCAAATAGAAAGTAGGAAATATATTCATCTAATGAACGTAAGGGTTTGAAAGGTAACTAACGCACACGTGTAGAGAAAATTGTGCATCGGCCAGTCTGGCCGGCATTTCGCACTTATAGTGCAACTAGGGCCAAGGAGAACGGAAACGCTCATTTCTCAAAAAGTAGAGAGAATCTAGCGGTCTCACTTGATCAGAAGGTGGGAAATATATAAATCTAGAGAGCTAATAAGGTTCGGAAGGAATATAATTTATATGTATATAGAAAGTGGTGCATTGGCCAGGTCGGTCAGTATGGGAACTTAGAGTGCAAATGCCTGGGAGAACGGAACCGCTCAGATCTCGCATAATACACGGAATCTAGTGGTCTCACTCAAATATAAGGTAGGAAATATATTCATCTAGTGAACGTAAGGGTTTGAAAGGTAACTAACGCACATGTGTAGAGAAAATGGTGCATCGGCCACTCTGGCCGGCATTTCGCACTTATAGTGCAACTAGGGCCAAGGAAAACGGAAACGCTCATTTCTCAAAAAGTAGAGGGAATCTAGCAGTCTCACTCGATCAGAAGGTGGGAAATATATAAATCTAGTGAGCCAATAAGGTTTGGAAGGAATCTAATGCATATGTATTTGGAAAATGGTGCATTGGCCAGGTCGGTTAGTATGGGAACTTAGAGTGCAAATGCCAGGGAGAACGGAAGTGCTCGGATCTCGCATAGTACATGGAATCTAGTAGCCTCACTCAAATAGAAGGTAGGAAATAAATTCATCTAGTGAACGTAAGGGTTTGAAAGGTAACTAACGCACATGTGTAGAGAAAATGGTGCATCGGCCAGTCTGGCCGGCATTTCGCACTTATAGTGCAAGTAGGGCCAAGGAGAACGGAAACGCTCATTTCTCAAAAAGTAAAGGGAATCTAGCGGTCTCACTCGATCCGAAGGTGGGAAATATATAAATCTAGTGAGCTAATAAGGTTTGGAAGGAATCTAATGCATATGTATTTGGAAAGTGGTGCATTGGCCAGGTCGGTTAGTATGGGAACTTAGAGTGCAAATGCCTGGGAGAACGGAAGCGCTCAGATCTCGCATAATACACGGAATCTAGTGGTCTCACTCAAATATAAGGTAGGAAATATATTCAACTAGTGAACGTAAGGGTTTGAAAGGTAACTAACGCACATGTGTAGAGAAAATGGTGCATCGGCCAGTCTGGCCGGCATTTCGCACTCATAGTGCAGGTGGGGCCAGGGAGAACGGAAACGCTCGTTTCTCAAAAAGTAGAGGGAATCTAACGGTCTCACTCGATCAGAAGGTGGGAAATATATAAATCTAGTCAGCTAAAAAGGTTTGATAGTATTCAATGCACATGTATAGAGAAAATGGTGCATTGGCCAGGTCGGTCAGTATCGGAACTTAAAATGCAAATGCCAGGGAGAACGGAAGCGCTCAGATCTCGCATAGTACACGGAATCAAGTGGTCTCACTCAAATAGAAAGTAGGAAATATATTCATCTAGTGAACGTAAGGGTTTGAAAGGTAACTAACGCACATGTGTAGAGAAAATTGTGCATCGGCCAGTCTGGCCGGCATTTCGCACTTATAGTGCAACTAGGGCCAAGGAGAACGGAAACGCTCATTTCTCAAAAAGTAGAGGGAATATAGCGGTCTGACTCGATCAGAAGGTGGGAAATATATCAATCTAGTGAGCTAATAAGGTTCGAAAGGAATCTAATGCATATGTATATGGAAAATGGTGCATTGGCCAGGTCGGTCAGTATGGGAACTTAGAGTGCAAATGCCAGGGAGAACGGAACCGCTCAGATCTCGCATAATACACGGAATCTAGTGGTCTCACTCAAATAGAAGGTAGGAAATAAATTCATCTAGTGAATGTAAGGGTTTGAAAGGTAACTAACGCAGATGTGTAGAGAAAATGGTGCATCAGCCAGTGTGGTCGGCATTTCGCACTTATAGTGCAAGTAGGGCCAAGGAGAACGGAAACGCTCATTTCTCAAAAAGTAAAGGGAATCTAGCAGTCTCACTCGATCAGAAGGTGGGAAATATATAAATCTAGTGAGCTAATAAGGTTCGAAAGGAATCTAATGCATATGTATATGGAAAATGGTGCATTGGCCAGGTCGTTCACTATGG